TGACAAAGAACCACCATAAAATAAAGATTATGAGTGAATCATATGAAGCTACAGAAGACTTGAAATAGTGTATTAGTCATACTATTAAGGCTTGTTCACACCGGGATGAATATCACGCGATTATCACCGACGTTTAACGCCTCGTGACTAAACAAAAACTTTAAAAACACGTTAAAAACAAACAAAAACGACTAAACAAAAACGCGTTAAAAACTTGCCGACCAATGAGATTGGCGCTTTTGTTCACGTGCCTGGAGCTGCTGAAGTTACAGTAAAACACGACTTGGTGGCACTCAAGCATAAACGGTCTTGCCGAGCACACATTGATACCTAACGACGAAGAGGAAGTAAGTAGACCAAGAAGATGCATCGAGGCAAGATGAATGTAGAGCTGCTGGTCTCATTGGTGTCTGAACACAAAGGGCTTTATGACAAACGCGACAGCGACTACAAAAATCTCGATAAGAGGGAGTTGTTATGGAGAGGAATTGCAGATCAAATAGGTTTCGATGTGTACCGGGGTATTTCTGTTTTTCATTAAGCGCCATCTAATGTCAGAGAGTGAATTTGCACGTTCACTCGGCTCATCGCCTGCGAAAATCGCTTGGGTATGAACACAAAAGACACGTCGAAAAATGTCGGCGATAAGCGCGCGCGATAATCGTCCTGGTGTGTACGAAGCTTTATGATTCTATTAAGGTGTTTTGTTTTGTTTTTCTTTTTTAATGAAACAGCACAGCTGCATACAGCACTTCCTATCATTATGAAAAGAGTATTCAGTACATTTTTCAACAGAAGAAGAAAGAAAGTCATACTGGAATAATTATGTGGGTAAATAAGAAACAGTAGCATAACACTCTTACCATTTCTGCTACAGTATATAAACATTTTGTAATATACAGTATAACGATATATAAGGACATGTCAGAAAGTATACTGTTTTCAAATTCAGCAAGAATTTTCATTTTTAATACATTTCCTTTGGGCTTTGTCTAATTTTTTTAAATGTTTCTGAAAAAAAGACTTCTGCTCACCAATGCTGCATTTATTTGTTTAAAAATACAATAAAATCAGTAATATTGTGAAATATTGTTTTTTTTGTGAAAAAACAGGGCAGCTGAGCAGAACGTATGCTACTGCTAGAGAATTTATATATATATATATATATATATATATATATAACATACAAATTTAGTATATGTACAGTACAATCTAAAGTGTTGTGGGTGTTTGCCAGGAAGTGAAACTTCACACACAGACACTGATCACTGATAGGATGCTCACCACACTCACAGACACACTCTCTTAAAGATCAGGACCCCTGTTTCATTTTGATTTACTAACTGCTGGACTCTAAGTGATTCAGTCTGTGAATATCTGACACTGAGAGACCTACTCATCCAGCTTAGGTTGATATAAATTCACCTATCATATATAGGCCACAGTCTGTAAACCACACACACGCAAACATGGAAAACGGGTTTAAATTTCTAGCAACTAAAGCAGCATAACAAAAAACCCGCAGAGGTGAATATGACATTAGGCTGTTCAGCTATTAGCAGCAATGTGTCTGTTCTAATAGAGCTCTGAGAAATTAACACTCAGATATATGAAAAACACATCACAGCAACATGAGAGTCGAGGCAGTCAGTCCTCGAATATCAGGTGCATAAACCACTAAAATGAATGAAGAGGAACACTCTCAAAACTGATGACAGCGTCTGCCAAAAAAGGAACAGATTCCATTTAAAGCTTAGTAACAGGGATAAACGGACTAGCGCTGCAATGAATAAATCAACTATTATTATTATTTAATTATTTTTATTTATTTATTTATTTTTATTGTTTGTTGTTGTTTTTATTAGTTTTATTTATTATGGGACTTTTTTTATATATATATATAAAAATATGTCTATATACAGTAGTTCTTATTCATTTTAATTTAAGATTTAGTTTAGTAAAAGAAAACGAGAAATTATACCTTGCCAACTATCTGAAATAAAATGTTTAACTTTTTTATATGTTATTTCAGTTCACATTCATTTCAAGTACCAGAAATATTTTTTTTATAGTTTTAGTTTTATTACACAACAATAACCCTGCTCTAGAGTTTCAGAAGTGACCTTAACAATGCTTCAAACTGCTCAAATGTGACCCTGGACCACAAAACCAGTCTTAAGTCGCTGGGGTATATTTGTAGCAATAGCCAAAAATACATTGTATGGGTCAAAATTATTGATTTTTCTTTTATGCCAAAAATCATTAGGATATTAAGTAAAGATCATGTTCCATGAAGATATTTTGTAAATTTCCTACTGTAAATATATTAAAACTTAATTTTTGATTAGTAATATGCATTGCTAAGGACTTCATTTGGACAACTTTAAAGGTGATTTTCTCACCCTCAGATTCCAGATTTTCAAATAGTTGTATCTAGGCCAAATATTGTCCTATCCTAACAAATGGATATGGATAGGATTCCTACATCAATGGAAAGCTTATTTATTCAGCTTTCAGATGATGTCTAAATCTCAATTTTAAAAAATTGACCCTTATGACTGGTTTTGTGGTCCAGGGTCACAAATATATAAACAAATACTCAAATATTATGCTTAAATGCTAGGATAGGCTCCAGCATCACAGCAGCCTATGGACCAGCAGTTTGGAAAACATTATTGTTAATAACAAACAATAATCTGATTAATAATCTATTTGGCCACATTACTTTTAACCACATAACTTTTTGAGCCAATCACCAGTGCTGCAGATGGAATAATAATCACTCTGAAATGGCTCGAACACTGTATTGACCAATCAGAATAGGATCTATTTTTTATCATGTACTTTAGATGAAACTTTTCCAAAAAAGAGTTTAAAGTTTATTTTAAATGTATGTCCTTGATTATGACATCCTGTAAACACACACACATAAACAGGCACACAAACACTCATAATTTGTTGTCAGAGTTGGACTGCTATAATATAAGGAACTGTCCACAGACACGAGCAGCAACATAAAATCACAAGAGTGTTCAAGTTTGCACTGCAGATGACAGACACTTTTTTTTTCTGGATAGCTACAGCATGGTTGTAAAGAGTGAGCAGTGTGTGTGTGTGTGTGGTTGTGTGTAGCCACTGCAGCATGAATGTGTTTTGAACATGAAAATAGATTGCCTACTTCATATCACCAGAGAGAAGGGAAAGAAAAGCAGAGAATTTAAAATGAGTATGTGACGGACAGCTCAGAGTACAGAAACAGTGCCACAGAAAAGACAACAGAACAGAAAAATATAAAGACTCAAGGATGAAAGTAAACGGTCTTAGACTCGTGTTCATTTTTCATTCCACTTCTACAGCAAACAGAGCTGCTTACGTGAGATTACAAAAAAAAAATTATAATAAAAAAACCTTTGATGCTCAAGTCATTTGTACTGCTTTTATAGTACCATTTATTTATATTTAAAATAATTAAATGAGAATAAATAATTAATTTAAATATATACATTACTGTTCACATTTTTTATGTTTATGACAGAGGAGGTTCTTATGCTTACCAAGGCTGCATTTATTTGATCAAAAACACAGTAACAACAGTTATTTTGTGAAATATTAATACAATTTAAAATAACTTTTATATTTGAAATGTTAAAATGAATTTATTCCTGTGATGCAAATCACATGATCCTTCAGAAATCATTCTGATTTGATGCTCAAGAAACATTTCTTCTTATTATCAGTTTAAAACAGCTGTGCTGCTTAATATTTTTGTGTAAACTGTGACAAATTTACAGATACATTTTTCTAGATTTGTTTGCAACATAAATGTATTTTTTGTCACTTTTGATCAATTTAATGCATCCTTGCTGAATAAAAGTATTAATTCCTTTTTTTTTTTTTTATCTTAATGACCTCAAACTTTTAAATGGTAGTGTAGTAAACAAACTATTCCTAACATGGGTTTCTCCTTCTCTTCTCTATTAATTTTTTCTTGTCTTTCATTTTTTTTTAGGTTATTCTTTTGGCTCAAATTTTCATGGGATTCATGGGCGCTAATTACGGCCCAGCCAGGGGGGAAGCCGTTCATACACACTCACAGAGGACTGTGCACATCCACATCAGTGTTAATTAAACAATACCATACCTGTGATTAAGAGGTGTCGGGTTGGGAGTAAGCTGGATAATGAAGAAAAACTGTGGTTCTTTCTCTTTCACACATAGAAACACATTTGCACCTCTCTTCACACACACACACACACACACACACACATTCTCTTACGTTTAAAAAGTGACATTCTTGAGAGCCAAATTATAAAAATTCTTACAGCCCTAATCTAAGGAAAGCATGTAAATACAGCAGGAGGTTCAAAAATGTACACAACACCATGCAGAATGTGTGGGAGTGTGAGAAATCAGGCAAGTCTGTATGCAGCACGTATACTGTGTACAGCAAATTTTCTGAATACCCAGAAAACATTGCATGGAATATTGTGTCCCACAGAGCAATCCAATTCATCTTCCATTTCCAGTGCCATAATAAATAAAATCACAAATGACATCTCTTTAATATCAGAATAGTTTCTCCAAGAAATGAAATGGAGACTTTTTGCTCAGATGTTTCTCCTTAATCATTGATTTACTATTATAATTTTTTTTGTTATTTGAATTTATTTTTATATTTTCCAATTTCACTTTAATTTTAGGTAAAGTTTTAGTCATTTGAACAGGTTTTTTTAAATACATGTCTAAATATGTTTTAATTTTTATTCATCCGAGACAAAGTTGATGCATCACCCTTTGAACTTTTGTTGTTCCTGCATACTGTTTCACATACTATTATTTTAAAATGCTATGCAGCATACGGTGTTGTGTAGTATGCATTAAGCAGTACTGTATTCCATTCCAAATATAGCCATAGTATCATATTTGTGTGAATGCATTCATTTAGGTTGCTCTGTGTGAGAGAATGTGCAGACATTGATTTGTGAAGGTCTGTGACACACTCACTCTGCGGGAGGGTGGATATCATCTGGTTTGGTCTCAAAGAAGCGGAGAACTTCTTCACTCTGCGAGATCTGGGGAGGAAGCCGAACCAGCGCCTGACAGACAGACAGGACATGAAACCGGACAATCAGACCCCAAACAACAGAACAATCACTCAGAAACACAGCAGACTAATGAATCCCCACTATACCACATGTTATTTCCTTTGAAATCTCCATAAGGGTCAATGATAAATACTGATATCCAAGGTGACGAAAAGGAAAAGTCTTGTAAATTCAGGAAGAGAAAACATAATTTTCTGCATGAATTGGATTTATGTTTTGAAATGTGTGGAACACTACAAAAAGCAAAGAAAACTCTACTTGTGATTTTAGTTTAAATTACTTGACTTGGATCCTAAAGGCGCAATTTTGCAAATCGCACAAACATTTGTCTAACAAATTCAGTCTGTGTTCCAACTGCTTTGGAAGCTCTCAAAAATGATTTGAAAATTAGAGAAAGAACAAAGGGGAAAAAATAATAAGGAAAGAGGGAGAGAGACAACTCCTCTGAAGAATCCCTGGAGTAAACCCTGTTATTTACTTATCTTTGAAGAACACAATGCAATTAAATGGAGATGGTTTGTCTAATTAAAGCTTTCAGGAAATAGCTGGTAAACATCATACGTTTAAGCAAAGACACATCCCTCTCTCTCTCATGAAGGGATTTTGATGTGTAGAGGAAATCTGGAGGAAGTTAGTTATTTAAATGTCATATAATCAACTGTCACATAATTAAAGGCTAATTTAAATAAATGTTAAACAAAAGCTGTCAATTTAGAGTGGTTAAAAAATAAATAAATAAATAAAATACATGTCCCCTGAACCGTACACAAACTCAATAAGGAATTGTACTAATATTTTGTTTTTTTGTTTTGTCTTTTTGCAAATTAATATTATTCAGTCTTTATGAGCATAAAGTCTTTGTGTTGTCTTTATTTATGCGCAATTCACATCAAATATTTACATATGCGATTAATCATTTTATTACAATTTTTAATCAACTGACATTATAGATGGGCATCTTAAGGACACATTTGCGTTAATATGTTCTAAACTATTTTTGGATGTGTTTTTTTTATGTCTTTCATGTAGAAGTCATGGAAATTGTTGCCACAACAGCAGTCCTTCCAAGACATCCCATAATGCTACCTATCTCACTGTCTCAGCCCACTTTAACAGCTGCTCTCCAGTGTATGTGTGTGTGTGTGTGTGTGTGTGTGTGTGTGTGTGTGTGTGTGTGGATTGTTTAAAAAAAAAAGTGGTCTCTCTTCCATCAGGAAAGAGGGGGAAGGAAAGAAAAGGAGACAAGTCACACAAGGGGAAAAGATAAAGAGAAGGAGAAATAGAGAGAAGGAAGAAACAAGTCGTTAAAGCCCCTCAAACTAATTTTAAGGGTGTTATTGGGTAACCTATAGCTATTGGCAAAGTAAACGTGACAGTGAACACCAATAAGTGCAAGTGTCTGTTTGCTGTAATTTATATGCTTGTGTAACCCAATGCGACGTGTTGGTCAAATACTTTAACAAACTCATTTTAATGTGTTGCAAGAAATTTGTTGTTCAGCACATTAGCATAATCATATTTTAACAAGATGGGAGATATTCTCTGATAATGAAGCAAATTCATACTCAAAACCTGATGTGGTGAACATGCACAAAACTTCAGCGCCGCTTCCCTTCGCTTAGGGTGAAATTTGTGGTTTGGGGGGGATCTGACACTACTACTTAAAGCTTGAAACCCCCCAGAGGAAGTCAAAACAATAGGTTGGGGGGTCTTGAAAATGCATAAACTAAATAGTTTCAAAGCAACACAGAAGTTTTACTGATATTAAAAGAACTTGATTTAAAATAATGCATAGTATGATTCGCTCATTGCTTTTAATAATACATTTTTGCTCAACTCATTGTAAACACACACATCCCTCCAGCTGCAAAATAACTTCATTTCACTGAACCTTTTTTATATTTATCCTTTTTGAATGAATTTTGTATCATCTATTTTAAGTAATTCTTCTTTGAACAGCAGAAGGACTGCAAAGAATATCAGTAAAAACGAAAAGGGGCTTAATGTTGAACCCTGTGGAACGCCTATATCATAACCACACTCTTAATGATGTTATCGACCTCATATGCTAAACACACACACACACACACACGAGCGTGAGCAACACTTCCCAATGACAACATGTGACACACACAAACAGTGTTTATCAAAGAAAAAGGGCTATAAAGAATCTCTCGCAGTTTAATAGTTTTCTAAATAAAGTAATATAGCCTACACATATTAAATAAGAAAATAAAAGAGTACAAAACACAAAAGCACCAACAAAGAGGAGGAAGGAAGGAAAGAGAGACTTACTCTGCAATAGTCATCAATAAAGCGTAGTCTCTTCATGGCCACGTCTCTCACATGACTTCGTCGAAATAGGATTTTGCCTTTAAAATAAAAGGTAGAATGATATATGTGGTCTACTTCAAAAAATCATTCTGTAATAACAGTATGTAATAACATAATGTTATCTATAATAAATGTATCTAGTTTCCAGAAATAGCTTTTTGTTGAAATTGCAAGAATGACTTGAATCATAGTTTGGAAAGCAGTTAGAATGCATTAAAAATAATACACAAATCTGTTGCATTCAATTACATTGCTTTCCAGAAAGTGTGTTTAATTTCATATTGCTACATGATTGCTTTTATGTTTGATAAAATAAAATAAAACATAAAAAAGCAGCTTAAATAACTATTTATCTTATTTGTGGCCAATCCAGTGAAAATGTTGACAGGGAAAGTAAAAATCAGAAGTACTGGCCCAATTGGAGAAAAAAATAAATCTTTATTGCTGAGCCCTGCTCAGTGCTGCGAGCAAAATGCAGTGCATTTTAGAATAACCCATAAGAAAATGTTTAGAAACATGATACACAGGACAGCTACTGAAGAGAGACGCCGTGTGTTGTTCTTCAGATCTGGAACATCGTAATCAGATTCAGACGTTTGGAGGAGATAAGATCACCACGTAGCACCAAGCTCCAGCTGTCATGCTCTCCTGTCTCAAGCTGTTTACGCTCAAGGAAACACTGAGAGATACTTAACATCGTGCAAAATGAACAAAATCCTTGTGATCAAAACCTTCATAAATCAGCCATAGATTCACCTTGACTTGTTCTGTCTCATATACTACTATTATTGTATGTGCTCCTACACTGAAAAAATGTTGGTGTAGAAAAATTTTTTACTCAGAAATCGCTAGTAAATTTCACAAGTAATGACAAGCAACACTTGAAATTGAATGGCTTTCCATTTGATTCAATGAAAATGGATGAAAATACCAAAGATCACAAACATTTAATTATAGAAGTTTATAGAGGCCTGATTGTACTTTGCATTTATCAAACCATGGCATGGGGTTGTCTATGTTAATAAAAAGAGTGCGCCTTTTAACAACAACAACAACAATAATAATAATACCAAATACATTACAGTATATAGATATCATATTTGTATAGATAGAAATCTGATCTGTCCTAGTGGAGTCTAATAATCAGACTGGAATTAAACGGATAGATTTAATGGCTTGACACCTGACACCCTATTATTCCCTTACAAATGCTCTGAATGGATTTATAATCCACTTAATGTTCTAGTAATCTAAACAATTACATTGCATTCCAGTAAATAATCTAATGGAGCAAGTAATAATCTAAGCTAGTGTGTGCGTATGTGAGAACAAACAGAGAGAATCAGGGACTGCTGGAAAACAAAGAACAAGAGAGACACTAAATCTCCAGGGAATAGAGCAGCCGCATCAGCAAGCCGGGAAACCGTGTCTCGATCGCTCTGTGTCTCTGTCCCGCTCTTCTCATTTTCTTCTTATTGATGGCTTTTGTTCTGAGGGAACGGTGCTGCTCATCTCAATGACTCGTGTGCCTGCTTCCTGCATGTGTGTAAGTCAAGAACAGACGCACAACCCCGTCCCAGCATAACCATGACTTATTGTGGACAGATCTGCTGACACCATGTACTTGCAGGTCTGTGTGTTTGTGTTTGTGCAGAGGAGAGGAAGGGGAGGACAAACTCCTCCTCAAATCACCTGGAAGAAAAGGGATAATCCTTTTTTTGGGATCTTTCTGCCCTCCCTCGATTGGGAACTTGTCAAGAATCTGCATCTGTGGGAAGACGCAAGAAACACAACGTAAAAGACAAAATAGTCAATAATAGACAGCATTAACTATCAATATTAATACCGTAACAATAAACAGAACTATTTACATACACATCATTTAATATATGATGATGCAAATTAATCGTTAAATCAGAGTTCAGAAGCAATGCACTGACAATTTAGACTGATTCATGAAAATGAATTCAACTTACTAACAAAGTGTTTGATTTGGTGTAACAGGGAAAGCTCGCAAATCAAAATGCAAATAGGCTCCAACGTCATATTTAGCTTTCATTTCTTCTACGTCTAATAAAAAATGTCATGATCTCTGTTTAAAATCCTGGGCTCATGATTCCTGAAAACTCGATCAATTTGTTCGCTTTATTTTCCGTAATTCTCCACATTTGTCCCTTTTGGGCATTTGAAGTACAAACAGCTGCAGATTATTTGTAAGTATCCCACAAACAAATGTAAATCTCAGTTCTAATTGTGTGTTCACACCAGATGCGAACGTAATTATTCGCGCGAGTAGATTACATACAAAGTCAACGCAAAGACACGAATAGAGGCGAATTCGCGCCGGGCGACGCAAATGACGCGAACGCACGATATTCGACTTTTTGACAACAGGTACAAAACAGTGATTGTAGTTATCGCCACCATGGTTGATCGCGCTATGTTTTTATTCGCACGAGTGACACGGAAAACATCCCGCGAGTAATCTAGAGCGAGTGACGCGATGCGCATATTCGCTTCACGTCTGGTGTGAACACACCATAAAAATTAAACACAACTACAGGAAACCATCAACAGAAGCTGGGAGATTCTTCATTAGCTGCACTCATGCAAATGTGACCCTGTAAGAGCTCTGACTGGAAACTCCCAGTGGGCTTTGCTCATTAGTGAGAAACATTTACAAGAAATTAGAGATTGAGTAAATGTTTAGAAGTAGCTTCTACGGGAACCAAATAAAGAAGAGAAAAACAAAGGGAAAAGATACTCTAAATGAAAATTAGTAATAATAATGGCATTTGATAAAAAAAATATATATCAACAGCATTTTTACACAAATCAGACTTTTCCAAAAATCTGTTTCCTGCCACTATTCTAGTTAAAGTTTTTTTTTAACATGTTTTACTTCTAAATAGTCTGCATCTAAAATTTCTAAATTGGAAGATTTCAAAGATTCTACTTTGCAAGCACAGTCGCTGGTGCACACTGATAGGGTTGTGAGGATCTGGGTCAGATGGCATGAAGAATTGGAGGATAAAATCAGATCACGTCTCACAGATATCTAACGTCTTGCACTTTCATTTTCCCAAGATCCTGAACGTATTCTGCTGATAATATCACAATTTTTGTGCTTTTTGCAGATAATATGAGTCACTCTCAACCACAGAGCAGCCACAGACATGTACGTTTATTTCACAAGTTCGCCTGCCCATTCAGCCCTGCCAGTTAATGGTAAACAAGCTTGGCTTGCTGTCCGCGAAGGAGGCTCAAACCCGAGGCTCAGCTCGAGCTCTGAGTAAGAACCCCCACTTATGATAGTACAGTGTGGAGGAAAAGGAGAAGGAATTAGAGGAGGTGCCGGAAGAACTGTCGCTGGAACGGAGCAATGACTGCTGCTTATATACGGTCGTAGCGATGATTGACAGGACTGGATGATTAGGCTCCTCCCGAACCTGAGTTGGGAACTTAAAGTCATTTTTAAGACATTCAGTAGATGTTGTTTAAAATATACACTACCGGTAACTTTTTTTTTATTTTTTTGAAGGAAGTGCTGCTTAATATTTTTGTGGAAACTGTGATGCACTACCATTCAAAAGTTTGAGGTAAGTTTTCTTATTAATTTCTATTTCAAATAAATGCTGTTCTATTGAACTTTCTATTCATCAAAGAATCCAGAAAAAAAAAATATATCACAGCATATCACAAAAAAATAGATAAATAAATAAAATAAAAAAATGTTTCTTGAGCAGCAAATCATCATAATGGTTTCTGAAGGATCATGTGACACTGAAGACTGGAGTAATGGCTTCTGAAAATCAGCATTGCCATCACAGGAATAAATTACTTTTAAATATACAGTGGGTACGGAAAGTATTCAGACCCCCTTAAATTTTTCACTCTTTGTTATATTGCAGCCATTTGCTAAAATCATTTAAGTTAATTTTTTTTCCTCATTAATGTACACACAGCACCCCATATTGACAGAAAAACATATAATGGTCATAAATTTATGGTCATGAAATGGATGTTGATAGCAAAATAAATAATCAAATAAATAAATAAATATTGCTGTAGTTAATATTGCTGTAGTTAATAATGCTAATAATAATGTTTTTTGTTATGGTGCCACTTTAGTTTAGGGACCAATTCTCACTATTAAGTAGTTGCTTATTAGCATGCATATTATTAGCATATTGGCTGTTTCTGTTTATAGACTTATATTCTATATTCTGTTTATGTACTTATAAAGCACATATTAATGCCTTATTCTGCATTACCATATTTTAGATCCCTAAATCCTAGGATTCCTACCACATACCTAAACTTAACAACTACCTTACTAACAATTAAAAAGCAGCAATTTAGGAGTTTATAGAGGTGAAAGTTGTATTAGTTAGTTTTCAATGAGAACTGGTCCCTAAACTAAAGTGTGATTATTATTATTATTATTAATTATTATGTCTTGCTTTTATTTTGGGGTTAAATACAAATTTTAAAAAAAATTGAGAAAGTGAAAAAAAGTGAGAAAGAGAGAGAGAGAGCGAGAGAGAGAGAGAGAGAGAGAGAGAGTTAGAAATCACTAAACTAAAGTGTGATTATTATTATTATTATTAATTATTTTGTCTTGCTTTTATTTTGGGGTTAAATACAAATTTTTAAAAAAATTGAGAAAGTGAAAAAAAGTGAGAAAGAGAGAGAGAGAGTTAGAAATCACTTATAAATTGATATGCTTAAAAAGTCACATCAGCGGGCCTACATCAAATCCAGCTCCATGGTGTCTTCTGTTCGAGATGAGAGTGATTGTAACTCCAGCAAAACCAGATATAAGTGTGTGAGCCACATAAACCTCATGATTAGCCCTTTCAAGGAGCTGCACCAGGGGGCCCTCATGGTAAAACACAGCTAAAGAGTTTGAAGACGCTGTAGGAGAGTGAGCTCTGTCACGCAGCTCCATCAATGGGCTTATTCAAGTCAAAACTTCAATGCATATTTCATGACACTTAAACAGTGATTGCTGCTATGGAGCTACACTAGGGGGGCGGCTCTGAACTATTAATGCACTACTATAGTCTACACCTTTGTAATATTTCTCCCTTAAGTCTAAAGTTGGTTAAGGCTTCTTGTACCAAATGTGGCATGGAAAATCTCTTCCCCGTTCTGTCTTGCTCTTTTTACACATGTGCACATGTCCCATGACCCAAATAACGGCAGTGGTCATGTGACCCCTTGCTAAAGATTAAGTTGCATGATGTCATAAACAACCAATTACACAGAGTTTGTACACATTTTGACTTATTCTAAAGACGTCAGCTTCAAAGGAAAAGTGTTTTCAAGAAGAAGTGTGAAGTACTTAGAAATGAGTCAAACAGTCTCCAAAATGACTTGCTAAGTGAGTTTCAGCAGGGTGACAGGTTTCCAAAAACTCACACAAGGCATAATCCACCTGGAACCACACAGAGTGTGCTCAGAACATCAGCTCAATAAGCTGCTTTTGCGCAGAGAAATTACAAAACTAAACTTTCACATTCTGTGATGAAAATGTAAGTGGTGAAAAAGTCACAACTATGATGCAAGGGTGTTGCTAGGGCATTGCTATACAGTTGCTAGGGGACTCAGTGGTTGCTAGGGTGCTGCTAAATAAATAAATACTAACAAGAAGAAAAAGAAGATTAAATTATTAATTATATCAATCAAACTGTATTGAAATTAATATTATTATTATTATTTAGCAACATTAAAATAATTATACAGCACAGTATAATAGTACTATTATTATTATTATTATTATTATTATTATTAAATTCCAAAGGCAATAACAAAAATGAAATAATTCTTTGGATGAATTATTTATACATTTCTGGCTAGCTGCTATATATTTTTTTATTAATATTCTGTTTCATATATTGATATAGATAGCTTGGATAAGTCTGTGATTTTGCACTTATATTTATAAAATAAGCACATCTGGTTGGATGAAGAGGTGCAAGTAATTGCATTTGAGGTGTCAAATCATAAAGGGTTACACACTGAAGTTTATTTATTACTTAGGGTTAGGGGTTTGTTGGAATCCCTAACCTCAGGTATATAGGCAATAGTAATGCCTTAGCAAGCAGCACTAATAATCAAAGGTTCCCTGTTTGGATCCAGTTGAAAAAAAACTTCTGGCTTTGGCGTTTCAGCCGGCTTTTAGAAACTGCTTTCAAGCTGATCTAAGATCAGCTCTTTCACTTCCAAAACACTGGAGTGTCTGTCTTAAATCAAGGTAAAGGCGACTGGTAGCCAAAGGGCGAGAGTAGTTACACTGATCCAAGAACGCAATAAATCCCCTGATTACAGCATTACGGGCAGCTTTATTGATTCCATTTGAGTAAGCAATGTGAAAGATTGAGTAAAGCGCAAGAGAAAGGATGAGTAAGAGAGAGAAAGCTGTTTTCCTTGAATTATTCTGTTGGCCGGAGCTCTGATTGACAGGACACACATGGATACAATTGCTCACAATCACAAAAGCACCTCCACTACACACATGAACACACACACATTTGTGGAGCCTATAGGGAGTGTGACTCACTCCAGGCCTGCACACACACACACACATACACAGGTTACTAATGGAAAGTGTGAATCAAGTCCGGACATGCATTAGTGAGCACAGTATCAGGTTTCAGGAGACATATGTGCACTTGGACTGACAACACACTTACACACACATGCACACTCTATATATACAGATCAGGGCTCTCTCTGATGGGCCGCGAATCAGAAGGTTGTTCT